TTTGGGTTCCTGTCTAAACCAGGACGCAATAGTTGGGCAAATCGTCACGAGCGCACAATGCAATTTACGTCTGCACAGCGCCGTCCGTGTTGGGAGGACGTCTTAAGGCGCTTCTCGGGATTTTACTATGAAGTGCAGTGACCGTACTTGCAGGCAAATGGTGAATAATAATAATAAAAATAATCCTTGCATTTGATACAGCGCCTTATCACGTCGTCGAGACGTCTCAAAGGGCTTTGCAGAATATACCGCAAAGTGGATTGACTGTGTATTCTGCGGGCGAAACGCGGCAACCATTGCGCGCAGCAGAGTCCCCGCAAACAGTCGTGGATTGAGTGCCCAATTTTTTTTTGGAGGGATTATTACCTCGATCTGCTAATCGACTAACAATCGTGTTCCTACGTATTGCTAAGACGAATGGGCTGAAGGGACTTCTTTATCTAAACTGATCCTGTGATGCAGTGACCTTCTGCTTGGGGATAGTCCCCTCTACTTGTGCTGTCTCTACTTTTATCATTACTCGTGGCGACATTGAAATGAACCATTTGAAATCATAACGGATGCGTCACAATCCATCGCAGACTTAAAACATCAACGTATTTAAGAGGACACTTATGAGAGGGAGAAGGGGACCGAGCGGTGGGTTAAATTGGCTTAAATTGAACTTGGACTCCACTTTGAGTTCAATGCTGGGATGAATTAAATTGAATTGTAGGAGATTCCAACCCCCACTCTTCCTCGCGCCCCCTCCCCACCCACCCACACACACAAACACACACACACACACGCTCTCTCTTTCCAGACCTCAAGTCCCTGAATTCAGCTGTGCAGATAGATAAGCGATTGACATCTGCTTGATGCCAGGATCTGTCATTCTAACCCCCTCCCTCGCTCCCTCCCCTGCTCCTCTCCATCTCGCCTCCCCCCCCCCCCCCACCCTCCTCGTTGCTTAGAAACAAGGCGGTGAATTTTAAAACATGGCCTCTGGTTTCACCCTGGTCCGTCACTGATTGCAGCCTTGAAACCCGGTATAAATAAGAAGGTTACGGCCAGGGATTGAATCCACAGTGCAGTTTGCTTGCAAAAGCAAGGGGAGCAAGTGCAAGCTGGATTTGGAGACCAAAAATCAAGCAGGGAAAATTCCAAGTGACTGAAATGATTATCGCATTTCCCTGTGGCAGATTTAGCACTGTGCACATACAGTTCTTAAACCGGTTTCCCAGTGAAGGGAAATCTACCGTTCCGCTGAATACCAGATATCGCTCTTTATTAAAGCAAGAGATTACTGTGATCCCCGCGTGCTTTCCTATCAAGTCATTCCTTTATTTTTGTTGTGTGAATTTGCAACAGTGAGAATCTGAGTGTTCGAGCGCTGCTTGGGGTTGGGGGAGAGGGAGAGACAATAATTCTCCACCAGCCTTTAAATGTAATAAATGCGCAAATTTCAACAAGTTACACGGATATTAAAATCCATCAATTATCCAGTGCAGAAAGTGAGAAGAGTGAGAAAGCAATAGTGTGTTATTACATCAAAAAAAAGCCCCACTTGTCATTTCTATCTTATATTGTTTTATGTCTGTCCTGTGAATCAGTAATCCTCTGCGATTTGAACTACTGTTAGGAAGGTTTCTTTAATCCGCTCTGTTCTTCCTTAAAAAAAAAGCAGCATCTGTTGAGGGCGAAGGGAGAGAGGGATAGAGGGAAGAGAGAGAGAGAGAGAGAAAAAAAAACAGGCTTAGCATCAGCCTGCAAGCCATCTGCTCTGTGTGCTAGGGTCTCTCACAAAATGAGCTGAATTTTTAATGAACACAGGCTGGTAGGAAACAGCTTGCAGATACAATGGCAAGAGAGAGACCCTCCAGCTGTAATAGGCAGAGGACAGTTAGATATAGATGTGTGGGGGGGTGGGGGGGGTGGGGTGGTGGTTGGAGAGGCTATGTTAATTGCTAAACTGAGTGTAGGAGGGTGTATGTATGTCTTGCAAAGCAGATCTGTATGAACTTTCAGTGATGCACATGCACACACATACACCAAAGTACGGCACTGATCAAGCGAACAGTGTGTTTGTTATCCTTGCTGGCTGTACTTGAGAAAATATATTTTTTTTTAAACCCCACTTTCCCCTTTCCTCCCCCCCCCCCCACCCCACTGAGCAAAAGAAAAAAAGAAAAAAAAAGATAAAAGAAAAAAAATCCCCTAAATAGACTTGTGTGTGTGTGTGTGTGTGTTTATGAATCACCCTATGTTATTTGTTTATTACTGTATCTTACACAATTACAATCAGCACAAAAAAATCTAATAATAATAATAATTATCCTTGCATTTCATGCAGCATATAATATTTAAAAAATTGATCATTCAATCCACGACTCTTTATGGGGACGCTGCTGTGCGCAATTGGCTGCACGTTTCGCCCACAAAATACGCAGTCAATCCACTTCACAATATATTCTGTGAAGCGCTTTGAGACGTCTCAACGACACGATAAGGCGCTATATTAAATGCAAGGATTATTACTTTTATGAGAGAGAGAGAAAAAGATAATATAATATCATAACATAATATGGGACTATCCCCATTTTGGAATGAGAGAGGGAGAGAGAGAGAGAGAGAGAGAAATCTACCATATATATCTTTACTCCAAGTTAAATATTTATTTGGAAAACCGAAAATGTACCACTCACTGATCCACACTGACCTCAAAGCAATGTAATGCCCAATGCAATAATAATAATAGTAATCCTTGCGCTTGATATAGCGCCTCATCACGTCTTCAAGACGTTTCAAAGTGCTTCACAGAATATACTGTCAAGTGAATTGACTATATTTTTTGGACGAAACACCGCAGCCGATTGTGCCACAAACAGTCGTGGATTGAGCGAGCAAATTATTATTATTATCATTGTTCTTATTTTTAAAAGGATTGCACACCGCTCCTTTGATCAGCTTTAACTATGGTTGGACACACCTTACCTCTGAGCTGGGAATCACTGACTCCCCCCCCCAGCCATAAACAGACCCAGACAATGGGAAAAGAAGCACATGTACAAACACGCATACAGAGCAGCTGTAACCTGCTCTTATCATAGGACGAGAAAGAATATCTGGACCAGACACTTAGGGTTTATTTAACCCCCAGACTCAAACCAAACCACCAGGTCAGGATAGAAACTGACCTGCAAGAGTGTTGGGGGGGTGGGGCACCCGTTTATTCCGAGACAACCTTCTTTCTTTTTTTATTTTCGTCCATCACGTTTACTACAACAACAACAACTTGCATTTAGATAGCGCCCTAGGGCGCAACAAAGTTGCATCGAGCACGTTTTTTAAGAGCGGTTGCTTCGAGGCCTGCCTGGTGTGGTATGGACTGTGCTTTGCCAGCTGTCACCGAGAGATGCTTTGCTTTGAGCCTGGCGTGTGTTGTCTCAGTGGCTTGGGACAAGGAAAATTTTCACATGTACAGATGAAGCTCTATCTGACTACTGTACGGTGCCACCCTTCCCACTTCTCCCCCCCCCCCCCCCTTCCCCCTCTTTCCCTCCCATTCCCCTCCTCCCTCGTTCGGCTCTGCGTAGCTTTCCCGAGGCATTATCTTACGTGAAGGGCGCAAGATAAATGCGAGTTTAACTACAAAAAACACACAGTGGCTTACACTTTACAGTATGTGAGACGTGCTCCCGACTTGAAAGGCGCTGTATGCAAGATAAGGATCATAATTATGATTAATGTTATTATGTTTAAGTTATTGTTCAGCCAGTCTCTATTTGCAAAAGGAGTTTAGCTGTCATCGGGCACTGGATACTTAACTGGTCGCAAACTGCAAACCGCAAGCTATTAGAAATGTCAGTTTGTGTTGAGATGGGAAACATTGTACGTCTGTACCATATTTTCTTATTGTTCATATTTATCTAGGTTCTTTCTTTCTTTCTTTCTTTCTTTCTTTCTTTCTTTGTGTTCAACCAATGTCAGTTGAACGGAAAAAAAAATCGTGACCTATTCAGTCCCTTTCAGCCAGTCTTTGTCTTCACCTTTGTCGACACGCACAGAAATGCAAGTTGCTGTCGTTGTTAACCATTACCAGGGCAGAAATGAGAGAGCGCACACATTGAATGAGATAATAAGGTTCAACCTTTCTCCCGAAACAAAAGGTACCTACATATTATGGGTTCAGCCGGGTGTCTGACACACGCGGAAACCATCCCGTGCTTAAGAGTATCCAAACCAGACTGAGAGTCCCCTAAAGCTATGAACTGTCATAGAAAAGGTATATATACACACATATATATATTTCTGGTTACACTCTCTGTTCCTAGAAGCATATGAAGTCCCACTCTGGCTCCACCATAAACCCAGGGAATAAAGTCGCTGTCGCACTTGCAATCAGATTCCGGGAATAGCAAACAGTACAATGGGGAGCAAAACCAAGGGTATCAACAAGAAAGAGCACAGTAGACAGAATGATGGAGGCAGTTGGGGGTCAGATAAACACTAACTCCAGTTACTACCCCTGAGGTTTGATTCAACCCAACCCAACCCAACCCAATCCAATTCACTGCACACCAGTCCACAGATATACTGTGGCCTGCAAGCTCACTCACTGTCTTTCCCTTTACAAAAACCACACACACACACACACACAAGGCAGACAGACAGATACACACATATAACACACATACACAGAGATACACACATACAAAATACACACACAAGGCAGACAGACAGATACACACATATAACACACATACACAGAGATACACACATACAAAACACACACACATAGCAGACAGACAGATACACACATACAACACACATACACACAGATACACACATATACAAAACACACACAAACACAGTAGATAGACAGATACACACACATACAACACACATACACACAGATACACACACACAGTAGATAGACAGGTACACACACATACAAAACACACACACACACAAGGCAGACAGACACAGACAGACAGACACACAGACAGAAGCTGACTTACTTGCTCAGGGTCTTCCTGGCGGTGATGCTGGCAACAATGATACTCTCCTGTCTGGGGCTGGCCACTGCCTTGAATGTTCCCCTCCAGAACTTTTCGAAAAGCTGCTTCTCCCCTTGGTGAACACTGGCCATGGTCAGTGCAGACAGAGCCTGTTTGTTGGCTGGTGGAGGCGAGGAGAGGGGCAGATAGAGAGTGAGAGAGAGGGAGAGAGAGAGAGAGATCAGACTCTCTATCTCTCTCTCTATCCCTTGTCCACCTCTCAGAGATGGGAGCTGTCCAGGGACTGAATGCCTTCAGCCAAAGCAATGCGCTCTGTCCCAGTGATGGACAGTCAACATCAATACAAGGCAATGCAAGGCAGGGCAGGGCAGGCAATGCAGGGCAGCCAATGCAATGCAAGGCAGGACAGGCAATGCAAGGCAAGGCTCTTTCTTCTTCCTTTGATAGACCTGCTTTCCACTTCTTTTTTTTTTAACCTAGCTCTTCCCTCTTTCTCTCCTCTCTCTCTCTCTCTCTCTCTCCTTCTGTCTCTCCTTCTCCTCTCTCTCTCTCTCTTTCTCTGTGTCCAGACAATTTGCAGGTTCCTTTTTGATGTGATGCAACGGTTGATTGATGTTAATAGTAATATTGTGATGATGATGATGATGATTTGTTGTTGTTGACTGTGAAACGATCAATCCTTGCAGTTTGGAATCGAAGAGGCAGAAAGAAAGGAAAACATTTTTTTTGTATCATCTATAAATAAAATTTTAAACATATGTATCATTATATATATATAATCTATCTATCTATCTATCTCTCTCTCTATATATATATATATATAATTCACCAAAGCCTTTGCAACACAAGAGACACAGCAGATGTGGCTTAGCTTTGCTCTCAAGATTTCTCCCAACAGCACAAAAGCAGCAGCTCTCTCTCTCTCTTTCTTTCTTTCTCTCTCTCTGTCTGTCTGTCTGTCTGTCTCTGTGTGTGTGTGAGAGAGAGCTCTTATGGTGCTTTGTTTTGTCTCACTACGTGACGTTAGAGCAAGGAGGGAGGGGATGGTCAGATGTGTAAATGACGTCTCTTTTTCATTCCTCCTTTCTCTCTATCTGTCTCTCTTTCTCTCTCTGTCTCTGACACACACACACACACATACACACATACAAAGCCAACCCCCCCCCCCCCCATCACCACTCTTCCTCCCCTGTCCTGCTGTCTCTTCTGTCTGCATAACCAAAGATTTTATTCCCATCAGAGCCAGAGCTTTTTTGTTTGTACCTGTGCCTCACTCACAATCAATATCCTTTTGCAATCTTATTTATTTACAAACGACCCCCCACCACCACCACACCCACCCCCCCCCCCCCAAAAAAAAGCAGCTCACAGCCAAATACATTGTGAAAAAGAGAGAGAGAGAGAGACAGGAACAAAAAAGTGGTCCCTTGCTCTCTTTGAAGAGATGCAAAATGCAAGGATTATTATAAATTATTATTATTATTATTATGGTCTATGGTTTGAATAACCATCCTTGCATTTCACATATAAATGATATTATTATTATTTATTATTCTCTGAAGAGGCATCCCTTTTAGATATTCAGCCCCAGATGTGTGTTTTTTTTTGCATCACTGATATCTGTGACAACCACAACCCCCCCCCACCCCCCCCTCACCACCACCACCCTCCACCTCCCCAACCCAAAAAAAATAGATATATTCATTCTGCCCAGTGGATTGTTTGTTGCATGTCAATTTCAGTGCAATGAATTGAAAGTCAATACTCCCACTTTGAATCGAATCACCATGCGGAAAAAAACACTGTACAGCAGTGTCATCCCCGACTCTCTCAGCTTTGCCCAGTTAATTTGTTTGTGGGTTGCTTCAAAGCAAAGCTGGCACGCACACTCACCCATTGCTTGCTTACCCAGAAGAAGCTGTTATTGAATGTAAAGCTTAAGTTCTTTTCTTAATGCTACGATTGAGCGAAACCCGACAAAACTCGCACCCAACAAGGTCTTGCCTGAATAATAATCCTTGCATTCGGTCTATATATGAAGTACTATTTGAGAAATCCTCTCAACGTGTAAGATATTACAGGAATGTAAGTTGTTTTTCGCTAGATCTGTGAGAGAGAAAATGATGTGGTCACTTCAATCCACAACTGTTTGTGGGACACTGCTGGGCGCATTTGGTAGCCTTGTTTCGCCCACAGGATACACAGTCCCTACACTTTACAATATATTCCGTGAAGCGCTTTGAGACGGCTCAGCGAGTTGATAAGGCACCATATCAAATGCAAGGATTATTATTATTATAGGTGATGCCACCGCCTGACCCCGGTAAACTTGGGGCACTCGCTTGATGACTATGTGCAAATTGGTAGTCTCTCACTTAAACAATACACAGTCACTAAACTTTACAGTAAATCCCGTGAAGCGCTTTGAGATGTCCTCCTGGTATGAAAGGAGCTGTATCAGATGCACGGATTATTATTGTTGTTGTTGAAGAGTCTCCAAGTGCTTCACAGAATTTATTGTCGTGTAGTGACTGTGTTTTTAATAAATAATCATAAATAATCTTTGAGGTTGATATAGTGCCTTATCACGTCGTCGAAATGTCTCATAGCAATTCACAGAATATACTGTAAAGTGTAGTAACCGAGTATTCTATGGGCATGTATCCTTCATATAGAATACCCACATAAAGAACGTAAAATACTAGGAGAGGTTTAGCAACAGAACAGTAAAAACAGACACATTGGCATTATATTGACAATTACTGGACAGGAGCTGCTGTTTATGAGGATTGTAATCTGTTAACAAAATAAGGTTAAAAATTCGTTACAGACAATGATGTTTTTGGACAGCACCAAATATTATTTGATTTGACCTGATTATTGTGTCATTCAAACCATTTTAGAATTCCTACAGTTAACTCACTGCATTTTTGATTATAAACCAAAAAAAAAACAGTTGGAAACTACTAGGATAGCCCCAACATTCGATAAGGCAGTGTTTGAAAACCCTTACGTCTGCATTCGACATTTTCACAGTGAGTCAGGGTGTAAGAAAGAAGCCTTTGCTTTTGTTGGTGTTTCATTGCTGAAGGCAGTTTTCCTGCAAGTGGAGACGCACGGACATTAGGACAAGCAGCCTTGAACAGCAAAACTTAGCCTCGTATTTCAGTGCTCCTGGGGGGCTGGACTCATTGCATTTAGTGTTTTATCTGTGTGTTGTGGTAAGAGTATTGCTGCGGTAATGATAATAATAACAATAATACTGCAAAAAGTAGCTATTTTAGGAAGTTCAAACATACTAAGGAAAGTAACATCCTTTTTATAATGACACGTGGCAGTGTTATTGGATCTGGCTGACCCATCACAGAGCGATTTAAACTGTAATAAGATAATAATAATAATAATAAATTATTATGATCATTTTGAAATTATCATATTGGAGTCCTGTAGCATAGTGATTAGAGCACTGCGACCTGGTTTACGATTCCCAGTCGAGGCGAAACCTGAGGCAAGTTTCCTTCCTCCACATAAAAAAACGTGTAAGAAACGAGCCTTTGCTTTTGCCGGTGTTTCATTGCATAAAGGCAGCTCTCTTACAGGTTACAATCCACAACTGCTTGTGGGTCACTGCTGCGCGCAATTGGCTGCCACGTTTCACCCACCCAATATACAGTCACTTCACTTAACAGTATATTTTGTGAAGCACTTTGAGACATCTCAGCCATGTGATATCAAATGCAAGGATTCTGATTATATAATATTAGATTAAAATTCAAATTAGATTTTTGTGATGAAAAATAACATCACAACAATCTGGCACTCACAAGTACATGCAGATAGGACAGTAATCTGTAACCGACCAGATATTATCGTAAAGAATAAAATAGATTGTACAGGTAGTACTATTGATGTGGCGGTCATTCCAAGTGATTACAACATAAGAAATAAGGAACGAGAGAAGATCAGAGATTTATATTGATCTGCAAATTGAATGCAGGCTTACGTGGCAATGTAAAACAAATACAGTTCCTATAATCATCGGTGCAACTGTGACAGAAACGGCTTGACAAAATACCCGGTGAACAAAATATCAACCAACCTGCAAACAGTAGTTATTTAAGAAGCTCAAACATATTAAGAAAAGTAACATTAGTTCATAATAATAACCTTACATTGATATAGCACCTTTCGCGTGGGGAGAGTGTCTCAAAGCGCTTCACAGGATTTACTGTAAAGCGAGTGACTGTATTTTACTGCCGATTACGGCTGTGGGCAAATTGGTTGTTGTGTCCACCTGTAAAATACAGGGTGTTCACAAAGTCCTGTTGCCCCCATGTTTTATTTCTACAGCGCACTGACCAACAACTCAAACATGAGGGAGAATGACGATCATTGTGTTTAGAAGCACTTCATTGGAAGCGTTGAAAGCGCTTTGAGACTGGACCTGCTTGAGGGGTGCGATATAAATGCAAGTTGTTGTTGTAATTGTATTCAGTGCAAGTGTTTAAACTGTATTTAGACATTCAGAGGGTCGGTGTGTGTGTGTGTGTGACGCCATCATTTTCGTGGCAGATAATGATCTGCCGCCATGTTCGGTGGATGGAGTGACCGGCGAGGAAGTTGCTGGGATCAGAAATTGTTAGACTCGACTGATCTGCAATTAACAATTCATGGTAAGAAAAAAACACAGGTGGGGTAACAGGACTTTGTGAACACCCTGTCCATAAGTCACCACACTTCGCAGTGTATCCTGTGAAGCCCTTTGAGCAACCACAACGACGACACATTACATCTTTATAACTTTCGTGTTGAGACGACGTCCCAAGGCGCTGGACAGTTAGGAATTTGGAGCCGAGCTGAGAGTTCAGGAGGTATGGGGAGGGGAGGGGAGGGGAGGCGAGGGGAGGGAAGGGGTAGGAGGGTGACGGAAGGCAGGGTCGAAGAGGAGGGTCTTGAGATGTCCTCTCGACATGGAAGGCGCTGTATCAAATGTAAGGATCGTTATTATTGTTATTATTTTGTCGAAAGCCAGTGTTTCAGCGAGCCGACAGGTTTGAAATCTTTGTACCCGGAGCCTATTTAATCGCTCGTTCGGTGAGACAATCTGGGGAGCGACAAAAAAAGCAACTGAAAGCACTTAGCAGAGAGATAGTTTTTTTCACAATAGTGATTGACTTGTAAAACACACTGAGCCTGGAG